TCTTGTGCGGTGATGGCCATGGGGCTAGAGGACAGAAAGGAGAAGAAATGGGTGAGGGAAGCTGGAAAAGGAGGGTATCCTCCAGTGTCATCCTCAAACCTGCTCCACATCTGACATTTTAATTTTCCTGCCAGGAAAAAGATCTTCCAGTTGGAGTTACTCATTCTGATTCTTCCTTCAGTGACTCAAAACTTGATCACAGGTAACAGTGAAGTGTGCTCCTCAGGTGTTGGTTAAGAAATTAAACAAGGGTGGGAAGGTTGAGGGACTGTGACCTCCCAGACTAGCCAAGGTCTCAGCAAAAGGCCTCTGTGGTCCACCGCGGAGAGACAGGCTGACAGACCTGATTGATCAGTGTCCAGTAACAAATCTGTCATCTTATTGACAAAACAAAACATAATTACAATGCGAAGAGGTATTCAACCTTAGAAAAGGAAATTATTATGAAGCATTAGGTAAAATGAAAAGTAAAAGTAAATACTGAGAAATAGAAAGCAACAAAGAGGAAAGCTAGATTTGACTAAAATATATATCGTTGAAAGCCAGGATAAAGGAACAGTTAGGGTCAAAACGTCAGGTAATCTCATGCTCTGTGGAATAAAATAACAGCATGGGTAATTAGCAAACACCAGAACCAGAACAGATGTCAAGGAAAGCAAGCTAAATGTTAAAGATTAAGTGGAGATAAGAACAGTCCAGAAAGGATTCCAGACCTGGATCCCAGGATCCCCTGCCAACAGAGCCATTCCCACCTGTTCTAAACGGGAAGCCGCCCATGAAGACAGCGGGGCTGCTTGATGGTTGAAGAGAAGCAGGGCTCAGAAATGGAAAAGCAACTCAAAGGCAAGAAAGCCAGCCTCGGTCCCTGCGAGGGAAGGCGAAAGGGGCAGGCGGTCCTCCTCTGCGGCTGGCCTTGCACTGGGCGGAAATCACAGGGCTGGGCCAACAGTAACAGCGCAGCTACCCAAAGTCTAGAGGCAGATAAACCTCCACTTACGTGGCACTCCCTCGGGATATTTTAGGAAACATGTATGGGATCTTGTGAGGTAAAAGTCAGAGCTGTTATCACAGGCTGGGATGAGAAGACACATCACCAGTACAAGCCCCCGAGGCAGCAGGCTGCGGCTGCTCTGGCCCAGGAGTGTCACACTTCCCGTTCTGCCTCCGCCTGCCTCCTCACCCCATCGCCCCAGACAAGGCTCTCGCATCCTTAAGGTCACCGGCCTTTATATATAAATGTGTTAAGAGAAAAAGAAGTCTGTCTACCCTGATTTATTTTCATTTTGAAATAGCCTGCACTAAATTGAATCTCTAATTACACCAATTTCAGTCACTGGAGAGAAAATTTAGACCAAGACAAGACACTTGAAAACACTGTTAAATGATACAAAGCATGGGACAAGGTCAGAACAGTAGCAGATTTGGTAACCGGCAGTGGCATCTCCCAACTACGCTGGTGTGTGACCGAAGCTGTGAAAGCAGATGGACGCAGAGACCACTAAGTAGCAGGATTCCGTTTCAGGAAAGAGACGTGATCTAATTTAAGAAAGGTTAACAAAGGTTAAGCATCCTGATCTCCCAGGCAGAATGCCTCGCTAATCCCTGGGGATACAGAAAGAGAGGCATGTGAACAAGGACACCCAGCACCTTGTGACCAGAACAATGGAGCACACGTAAGAGAGACAACAGCCATCTAAGGGACAATTTGGCTTATCTGGAACACCTAGGAATGGAGAGGGTGGAGAGAAATGGGTTTTCGAGCCATGAGAACAGGCCGGAAATACTACTTGAAAACACACACACACTCAGGGCAAAGAACGCAGGGGTGGACGGAGTGGTCACACTGCCACTAAACAGGAGCATGAGCGTGGGAGCTTGCCACACTAAGGAGCTTGGATACTATGTTTTGAACAGTGGGAAACCATGGGAAAACTTAAGCAGGGGAACCATAGACAGATTTGTGATCCAGAAAGCTCACTTTGGCAGCGATGTGAAGAACAGGGTTAAACAGGGCAGGAGCAGTAATGACTGCAGCTGAAGACTAAGCAAACAGATACTGCTAGTTCCTGCAATGTGTTAAGATTTCATAGGCAAAGACAGACCTACCTGCATTTAGAGCCCTGCTCTGGGGGGTAGCATGAAAAAACACCAAACACTAGATAAATCATGCTTCCCTCCTTTTTCTCATTCAGCATCACCTTACACTTCAAAATTTCCTGTCCAGCCTCCCCTGCTTTCAACTATTCACAGAGCCCCGTGTTCATGGTGCCGCAGGTGAAGATAGAGATGGAGTCAGACTGTGACTTCACAGATGTGGACATGGATGGAAGAGAAGCCAACGGCAAGACCACCCTCTAGGTCACAGCACCCGCATTTGGGGCACGGGGGGCATGGTTTAGTCTTCACTGAGGGCCTGGGCCATGACACTGAACTTGTCTGAGCCCATCTCTGAATTTACCAAACTGTCATTATTCTGCTTGATAGAAAACTGCAGCTCTGTGGATGTAAAGTGCTACTTAGGTGCAAAACTCTCCTCTCTGTTATAGTTAAGAAATAAATCGAAAGCATTATGCCTTATTTTAAAACAGTCCAGCATAGAAATTATAACCTTTCTTTTGAAATGAAAAAAAAAAAAAAAAAAAAAGCTCACCTCCCAGAACCATAGTTAAGGTAAAGGGGCAATAGTCCATTTTTATTAAAATAAATTATCAGTTGAGAATGTGTTTAGATTTTAAAGTGTCTAGGTGATTTTGAAAGAATTAAAATACTCATACTTCAATACAGAAAGGTTGAAAAATTCATCTTGCAAATCTGCGTGTTAAGAAATGCTTGAAGGTCCTGTCTTTTCTCTCCATCTAAGCCCAGTTGCTAAGGATCGTGGGAACAAGTTGAACTGCCTGCATGAGGGCCTTGCCCGGGCACTGACGTGTGGCTGGGGCGTGACCAGATTGAAAAGCCAGTTCCAAAGTGTGTTAAAGAAACAACCAACAAATTTGAGTAAATGTTTTTAAAATGATTCTTATTAGAGTAAAATCTGAAACCATGTTAAACCAACAAAATGATCCTTTGCATTAACATCACTGGTTTTTCATGCGCAGAATCAAATTTCCGGGCCTGTGGATAGGTCCTTCCTGCAAGTTTCCAGTGTCCTGATTCCCCAAGCTGAACTCCCATTCACATGAACATTGATTGCATGTTAGGCAGAGCTGAGGTCAGAGCTGAGGAACAATTATAACTTTGTAATATTAGACTAGCACTTTAAGGGAATGATCGAAAGCAAATTGGATAGATTAAAACCTGTTATTAGTGAAGCAAACCCTTTCCTCATAAAACAAGATCAGTCTTTATCTTCAACCCACGTTTAACATCACCCATGTTTATTTAGCAGCTATGTGCCTCACAGCCACAACGCATCTGATGTAAAACCAAGGATCTGAATCCTGAGTTAATCATTAGGTTAGACTTACTACATGTACTCAAGATGACAAATGCAGGTGCTTTTTCTTTATTTCTTCCTATTTTTTAAAAAAAGACAAATGACACTAGATCATTAACACCTTGAGTACCAGAACAGTTAAATGTCTCTGTAATTCCCAGGGCTTAGTCCTGGTCCATAGAAAGCTTAGTTGTTTATTAAATTAAATCTCAGAGCTCCCTTCCAAGGTATACTGCCAAGAGGTACAGCCCTAAACCTCTACCGCTTCTGACAGCACATAACTGCTTAGCTGCTTGCTAATCCAGAACCATCACCTGAGTTTAAGCATAAATTCTTTATCTTCATCTGTACCAATCTGGGAGAGCTAACAATCTACCCTTAACATTTTACTTTTAAAACTTGGCTGATTTTCAGTAGTACTTTGTCCAAATCAAACTGTAGAAATGTTATGGATTCAGGAATAAATGCGCTTGATTAATCAAACAAGCTGAAAAACTAAAAAGTTAATTTTTTTGTTGTAAATTAATCACTACAACTTTTACCTTATATGTCATTTGTACTTTGTATATACATGAGCATTTTAATTTTGATAGCTTTGAACAGGTTGACATATTACTTCTCTGTGCAGTAGGTCCGTACTTTTTCCCACTTGTAACTACAATTCAATAAAATATAATGCTGCCTGCTCATCTTGCTCCATGTTTAATAATTTAGGTAAGTCAGCAGGCTTGGCTTACAGACACCAGCTGTATCTCACAGAAACATCTCTAGCAAGCTGTCATCTTCTTCATCTCCAGAAAACTATCAAAAGAATAAAGTCAGCTGGCAGAGGCACCGCGGGGAACAGGTCAGCTCCTCATCCTGCTCCTTTCTGTCTATGCAAGGTTGCAGGTTGCACGGAACAGGAGCTGCTCCTGCCTGCATGAAAGGCAAATACCCAGTCCTGGTGGGGAGCACAGAGGGACCTATCCTAGCCTCCAAATGTGCACAGCCAATACCTTCCAATCCGTCACCTCAAACAAACACATACATTTAAGGACTGTTATACACACAAACACACACACACAGTGGGGGGAGGGGGAAGGGGAGGAGAGAGAAAGAGAGGGAGAGATAGTCCATTATATCTTGTGATATAAGAAGACTAAATGGAGTAGGGCGATTCCTTCACAGCCCTTTAAACCAACTTGTTTAAGGCATTGGTGTGGGTATTACCAAATATACAAACAGCTACATTGATTACATCCAATGAGAAAAATAAACTATGGTCAGGTCACAACTAAGATGATACAATAGCAGGAAGATGCAGTGTTTCAGAAACTCATTTCATACCAGTCAGGTTTTATTAAAACAAACAAACAAAAATCTTTAAACAGAAAGTCTGATTAAATTCAATACTAACTAAAGGTCTCAAAAACTTAATGGGGAAAACCAATAAATAGGTGCATCGGAGAAAAGCAGGCAGCTGCTGACAATCAATTCTTTGGTGGAAAAGTGAGTTGCGTCCTTGTACCAACTGCCCTAATGATCATCAAGCCCAAGTCTTATTTTTCAAGAGCAGGTTTCAAGATCTACCAAAAAGATCTACACAGACAACCCCAACAGTACAAAAACTTAACAATGAAGTTTAAGAACATAGGAAAAATCAAATAGGATGATACACATGAGTTATTTATAAAATAAGCCTTTTGATCCCCAAAAACTAAAATGGGGAGAGCTCATCAATGGTAACACACATAAAACAAGGGCTAATAATAGCACACGGAGCAGACATTTTCTGGATGACTGACTAAGCTATAAAATGACAGAATTCTATTAACATGTAGCTTTTATTCTGGTTATCAATCAACATGTACAAAATTAGGGTAAATTTTTTTCTACTCAAGTACTATCATTTCTTCCTTCTTACCTTTTCCCTAATTTTCTCTAGCAATATTTTTCCTTTGGTTTCACCAGTTGAACTCAAAAGGTTTGGAACCTGAAGTGAGTACCAACTTTTATTGGAATAGCACTTGGGAAATGCAATCCTAGAAAAGGCAAATTGTAACTGAAGTGGTCTGACCACATTAGGCAGCTGTTCTCAAAGTGACAATGTCCCCGCTGTGATCACTAGGTTAATGGCTCCTCTTATGGCTAGATCACTGACCCAGCACGATGGTGGGTGCTCCCTGGTAAGGTACTGAAGACCTCTTTGTGCAAACATCCACCATTTAACTTAAGCTTTCAATAAATACAAAGCATCGTATAAAACCATGTCAGTAAAATAAATAAAAAATGCTGCATTTCTATCAGCCTGTTTTGCCTCTTGAACTGGCTTTAGAGTACACTGTTCATGACACAGAAGACACGATATCTAATTAGTTGCCACTCCACGCTCTGTAGGCTTCAGTGCTTCCTGCTCTTCAAGCCTCAGCACCTTTTTTGCAGCAATAACGGTATTTTTCATCAGCATCGCCACTGTCATGGGGCCAACACCTCCAGGGACTGGAGTGATATAACCAGCTTTCTTCCGGACTCCTATGTAGAGAAACGAGAAGCAGGCCACTTTAATTATGACAAAGGAAATGCATGTATTTTAACATATCATGGAAGGAGCATTCAAACAAAAAGCAAAAATATTCCTAAGCACTTTTATAAGCCTCAAACTCATAAAAACAACACATTGAATTACTCAAGAGTAAAGGCTTTTGAACGTACATAATAAGCAGAGTTGTTTGATGAATGTTTATACATCTAAATAACCTGTAATCTACCAGCCACACTTTTCTCCATATCAAAAAAGAAACATCTCAGCATGTTAACTGTATGAAAGGTATACCTATAATAATAATAACAATAATAAGCATTACCTCAATTAATACCTACTTACAACATTATCTTAATTTTACTCTATTTATATACTACATGTATTTATATTATTTGCCCAAAGTACCAAGAAAAGTAATTTTCTGGAAAGTAAAAAGCAAGATTTTTTTAAACCCAATTTTAAAGAGAAAATATGTAGATACCTAGGCTTGGTTCTGATGGCTTCAATAGAAAGAGAAAGCTAGGAACAGGATTATCAGCATAAAATTTATGTAAACATAATACCTTAAGAACTGAAAGGAGGTATCTACTAGCAAATTCCAAATTTTCAAGAATATGGTTTTTTTCCTGGACTGTTTTAACATTCCAGGTCTAGGATCTCCCCTCTCAATGTGATTCTGAGAAATCTACAGCACTTTTTAGGAGACTCAATGGTTTAGGAAAATCATTTTATTAAATTTTCAGACTTGTTCAAAAGTCTTGAAGTTGTTTTAATTATGAAATAAACCTAAAAAAAAAAATTCCCTGAAAAGTTTATATTCTCTCTCCATTATTTTATGATATAAACACCTAAAATAATTCGAGAGTATCTATATTTTTTTTAAAAAGATTTCTTTTAATTCTTATGGAAAGCATTTCTCCTTCTCACAGAAAATTAATCTTTACAACCAAAGACTAGAATAAATCACCACACTGTTGTCCATGTCCATGAGTCCTTTGTCCTTTTTGCTCAATCCCTCCACCCCCTAAGTAAAGCATTTTAAATGGTATTCCCAGGGTAACACAAGTTCAATAGTTAAAAGAAAAAGTAAATGATCAGTCCTAAATGTCCATTAAAGGTAGTATTTATTGATTTTATATTTCTTAAAAATTATACTCTTTACCTTCAAAGTCCACATCTCCAACCAGCCTGGGCTTGGCAGTGATGGGGTCCAGAACCCTATTTATTCCCACATCGATGACAGCCGCCCCTTCCTTGATCATGTCTGCTGTGATCAAATTTGGAATGCCTGGAAATGGGGACAGGAACGACCACTTTAGGACCGAAAAGAAGGTTTTACCTATCAGATTTTTTTTTTTTTAAGATTTTATTTTTTATTTTTAGAGAGGGAAGGGAGGGAGATAGAGAGAGAGGGAGAAAAATCAATGTGCGGTTGTAGGGGGTCATGGCTTGCAACCCAGGCATGTACCCTGACTGGGAATCGAACCTCCGACACTTTGGTTCGCAGCCCGCGCTCAATCCACTGAGCTACACCAGCCAGGGCTACCTATCAGATTCTTACGTAATTTCAATTTCGAGACCTGGAAGAACTAATTAGTTTGTTTTATAAAAAACTTACAAGAACCATTAACCAAGGAAACATTTAAACTTCATATAGTAAACAGAAATCTTTTGAGGCTACAGAAATAAACTTCACCCACGAAGTCCATAATGAAATGACCAAAACTGCTACTCCACCCACAATGCTTTCCTCTTCTTTGTGGGTGACTCATAGAGCCTAGGGCAGCGACTTTCCACCTCTGTCATCTCGAGGCACGCATAAACTAGTGGAATTCTGTGGCACACCAAAAAATACATTTTTTGCTGATCTGACAAAAAATAGGTATAATTTTGATTCCTTCATGCTGGATGCCTATTGTTATATTGGCTATTGTCATTTTTTAATTTGACAAACTAAGGGAAAAGAGGTCAGTGCCCTTGGCTAAATAAATAGTCAGGTCTTGCATGTTTTAACACTTCCTGCAGCCCCTTGGCGGAAAATCGCTGTCCTGGGCAATAAGGAATGGGATGGCAGCAAGGAGGGCAAACTCTAAGAGGAGAGGTCTGTCCTCTCCGTCCCCTCCCTGGTGTTTTTACCTGCAGCAGAGATGACAATGTCTGCAAGAACTGTATGTTTCTTCAGCTGCTCTTTGGGAGTGTATCGATGAGATATTGTAACAGTGGCATCACCTGTGAGTTAAAAATTAAATGTCTTAATTTCTAAATCAAAGCTAGGATGGGACTAGGTATCAAAAAATCACTGCAGAAATTCAATATCTCTGAAAAAAATAACACGTAATTCATGTGCCATATCTGGACAGCCAATTATCACTTTCTTAAAAATTAATACCCAATTTCTTGTTAACTTTTACCTGTTAGTCCTAGCTCTACTCTTTGGAATCACATATAATTAGATTTCTTCTTTATCCTGTTTTTCAAGGATTTTAACTTTCTAAATAAAATACCACTAGAATCACTCCAGGTTTGTTTTGTTTTTAAAGATATGTATTTATTTATCTATCTATTTATTTTTTGAGAGAGGAAAAGGGAGAGAGAAAGGGAAAGAAACATCAATGTGTGGTTGCCTCTCACATGGCCCCCACTGGGGACCTGGCCTGGAACCCAGGCATGTGCCCTGACCAGGAATTGAACCAGGGACCCTTGGTTTGCAGCCCACACTCAATCCACCGAGCCAGGGCTGTTTTTTTTGTGTTTAACTGTGCTAGGAGATATTTGGAAGTATTTTGTTTTAACATTAGTTCTGATATAATCATGTAGTATCATAATATGATAATCACATAACTCTGCTTTGACGCTTTTTCTCAAGCAAATTAACAAAATTTGACATGACACATTAGTCATATTAATTTAATCCTTTGCAATGATCTAAGATTTTTTCCATCAAATGACATAGAACACAATAGGAACTTTGAGTAAGAATTGTTTCTTAGCTCCAACTATCAAAGCCATAACTGAAAATCTCTAATTGCCTATAACCATACTTATACTCAAAATTCAAATTCATTTCTGAGGCACATCAATTTCTGAATTAGTTCCGTAATAAATGAGTATAAATAAATTCCCAGGTGACACTGAGTACAGCTTCTCCTACAAAGATTACACCCCAAATTATCTGTTAATAAAATTACAACAAATGCAAACACAAATACAATGTTTCCTTGGAAGTTTAACAAAGTTAACACTTCCAAACATGGACAAGACAGCCTCTGAACGTTCTCACATGAGGGAGAAGACTCTCCTCTGAAAGCAGTTTGCTTACCTCCAGGACGTTCGTGCGCCCCATCTGTGTGCAGTAACATTGCAATGGGCATTCCAACATTTTTTGACCTTCCAGCTACAACCACATTCTTCCCAAGGGTTGGAATGCCTATTAAAAAAATTTAAATACATACATACATATGTATATATACACACATATACACACATGTGTGTGTATTAAAAGCAATGCCAGGCTGTCTTAGGGCACCAAAGGAAAAGAAGGCAGATGGCCTAGGATGTGAATCTAATTGTGATAAAGAAGGAAAGCTAAGCCTATTGCCTCATCAATCAACTGGCGCTATCACTTCTACACATAGTGAAGTTTAAAGAAAACTTTTTGTGAGCTATAAACTGTTGCACGAATGTGCCCTAGCACCACTATTAAAGTTTAAGTTTCCTTCACTGAGGCTTCTGGATTAAATAGCAAAAACAGTCATAGGCAATCGCTAAAAGAGAAAGGCTCTGGGGACTAGGATGAGTCATGAGTGGGATTCCTCACTGTTACCATTTGCAAGTACTGCTTTGATAGTATTAACACAGACATACAACTAACTGTGGGATATACCTACCAGTTCGCTTAATTATTTCCCACACACCCCATGGGGTAGCCGGTAACATGGAATACTGGTCCAGACACATGCGCCCCACGTTAATTACATGAAAGCCATCCACGTCCTTGTCTGGAGAAACAGCATTGCAGATCCTTCTCTCATCTATATGGTCTGAAAAAGCAAGCAGAGCAGTGAGTGGCCTTCAGTCACCATTGCAGAGTTAGTACCGCTTGACTCCAGCTTATCTGGTTTGACGCACAAATCTGTTCCCCTTCTACAACTTGCTTCTACTTGACTCCATGATTTATCTCTTCCATCTGCACAGAAGGGACACATCAAGCAAAGCCAAATGCCAATAACCTCTTGTAAAACTGCTTCCCTGCACTGTTTTTTGTATCAAGATCTGAATGCCAAATCAAGGAGTAATTGGTATTCTTGATTTACCAGCTCAAAATTATTTTTCCTCCTAACTTTCTAAAGTCTTCTAGCTGCATGAATCATCAAATTAACATGAGATAGATTAACAAGAGACAATGTCCAAATTTATTATGTATGTATATATGTATAAGAATGGGGGTTCCATGAAACCCAGGACACATTGGGCAATTAAGGCTTATATGCCTTCTTGAGCTAAGGAGAAAGGGGGTTGTGGCTGGGGACTGCAAAGAGCGGGAAGGCAATGCACACAGAGATAAATTAAAAACAACAATAACAACAACAAATGTTTGGTAAATAAATGTTTGCTGGGCCATCTTTACCAACAGGACACAGAGAAGACTTTGATCAAACAGGCCTTGCTAGATTCCTCCCGGTCTAGCACACCTTGTTCACATTCAACTATAGTTATCTGTGATGCTATCTCCCTTCCTGGAGGAGGTCCTCTATCTAAATTCTTTTAGGCAGTTAGGGGAAAGGTCAAAGCTTCTCCCTGGGTCTTTTGTTTCTTGAAAATAACCAGCTTAAAGTAATCAATACCCCAAAAGGCATATTTTAGGGTGGCAAATGCTGCTTCCCGTCACAGAGTAGGCCTGCTCCATGGTCTAATAAAACATTCACTCAAGTTTACCTCTCTTTTGAGTCAAATTCACACAAGCAGCCAGCTGTATAAAGTAACCAAGCCTCTCCATTCAGAAATCATCTTAAATGGTAGAGTCTAAAAATCACCTGGAAGGGGCAGCTGAACAAGGAGGCCATCTACATTATCATCATTATTTAGTTTGTTGATTAAATTCAATAGTTCTTCCTCTGAAATTGAAGCTGGTTTCACAATTGTCTCACTGTTAATTCCTGTAAGAAAGTTTCAAAGTTAAAAAATATTGAGGCATTTGAAGACCAACGCTATTTGCCCGTCTTCCACCACTGAGGTTTTTTATTATCATGCTCACCCTGGTAGCTGAAAAGCTTGAATCAGCTCAGAAGGAACCTAAAACAGTAATTTCACAAATATATACACTAGTAAATGCTGGCTTGACATTTTCTATATATTATTCTATGTAATCCTCATTAACCTCATTTTATAGACAGGAGACTGAGGCACAGTGGAACTGAAACGAGCTAGCTAGTGACACAGCCGATCCTCCGGTCCTGAAGCCCCTGTCTTCCCGCTGCAGCATGGCACCTCCCAATGTCCTAGGAAGCCATGGCTTGCTATTTTCTAGAGGCTTTGAAGGTTTTCCAATGAAAAGTGCAGGAGGTCTCAATCTTCAGTAATACAGAATAGAGTACATCAATTGGAAAAGAAAAATGGATGAGAGTACACCAAGGGCTCACCGTCCAGTAAACCTGCCCAGCCACACCAGTGCTTTCAGAAGGACAGGATGCCTGCTCAGGCTACTGACCCACGGATGAGTCCACCCACACACAAAGTCTGTGGTATAGCGAGACCTAGAACACAAATCTCCCATCACCCAGACCCATGCCTTTTGCATTCAAAATTCCCATCACTTCTAAACTGCAGGATTTAATTGGCTTTACCAACTGGTGAAGAAATCAAAAGCCATTTCCCAGAAGTCCGAGTTATTTTCTTCAACTCTATACTAAGTCCTAGGCTATATCACTGAGGTCTCCTCAATCTTCCCCTAACACTCAGTTGCCTTAGTCTGCAAGTGCTTAACCACCTCAATGCTCTCATCATTGCTCAAGGAAAGCAGGCGTAAACTGTGTCCAAGGCCACATGTCCAAAGTTAAAACTAAGAAACAGGCAAAGATAAGATAAACCATAGTCCTTCTGTCCAAGTCTATGTGCCTCCCCAACAGATACACCCTGATCTCTTTTTAACAAAGTTTTGGCCGTAGTTCAATCATATGAGCCTCCTCTGCTTGAGTTTCTAGTCAGAAAAAAAGAAAAATTACAGCAGAGTTTGCCTCAGGGAACCCTGAGTTTAAAAGTGGTTGGGATCTGAGAATGACACATACCCACATCTGCAGCGGCCTTGGTTTTGTTGAGGACATAGGAGTGACTTGCAGGATTCTCGCCAACCAGAACCACACTCAGGTATGGCCGTTTGTTGCCCGATGCCACCCACTCTTCCACCTCCTGCCGCACTTCCTGCTTGATCTGCTGGGCAAGTTTCCTTCCAGAAATGACAACAGCTTCATTCCTGCAGAAGGCAACAAAGCCACAAAACCAAATATTAGCTTGAATTTTTGTAAAAAGTAAAGATAAGACTACAAAAAAAGTGTTATTACATACCCAAACTTTCCAGGGCTGGGAAGAGGAGGAATTGGAGGAAAGCAGACAAAAGGTACAAATTTCCAGTTATATGATAAATAAGTACCAGGAACGTAATGCACAGCATGATGATTATAGTTAACACTGCTATAGGACATACAAGAAAATTATTAAGAGAGTAGATCTTAAGAGGACCATTTTCTCCTGGTCTTCATCACCAGGAGAAAATGTTTTTCTTTCATTGTATCTGTATGACATGATGGATGTTAACAAAACCTACTGCAGTAATCATTGCACAATAAAGGTAAATCATGCTGTACCCTTAAACTTATTCAGTGGTATATGTCAATTATTTCATAATAGCACTGGAAAAAATACCCAAAACTTAAAAGTTTAGGTTAAAATACATAGTGCCTAATCTGAGGAACAAGTGAAATCTGAAGAACAAGTTCAAAGTAGGAAATCTGTATCCAGGTACATGTTTAGCACAGTAACATTGATTGAGGTACACCAAGACAAAGAAATATGGTTCAAATGAAAGAACAGATCAAAACCCCAGAAAAAGAACTAAGCGACCAGGAGACAGACAACCTATCAGATGCAAAATTCAGAACACTGGTAACGAGGTTGCTCACAGAAATAATTGAGTTCGGTCACAAAATAAAGGAAGAAATGAAGGATATACAAAATGAAATAAAGGAAAATATACAGGGAACCAACAGTGAATAGAAGGAAACAGGGACTCAAATCAAAGATTTAGAGCAAAAGAAATAAACATCTAACTGGAACAGAATGAAGAAACACGAATTCAAAAAAAAATGAGAAGAGGCTGAGGAACCTCTGGGACAACCTGAAATGTTCCAACATCTGAATCATAGGGGTGGCCAGAAGGAGAAGAAGAGAAAGAAATGGAAAATTTACTTGAAAAAATGAGAGAGGACTTCCCTAATTTGGTGAAGGAAATAGACATTCAAGTCCAGGAAGCATAGCATAGAGTCCCAAAGAAGTTGAACCCAAGGAGGAACACACCAAGGCACATCATAATTACATTAGCCAAAGATTAAAATAAGGAGAGAATCTTAAAAGCAGCAAGTGAAAAGGAGACAGTTACCTACAAAGGAGTGCCCATAAGACTATAGGCAGATTTCTCACAAGAAACCTTACAGGCAAGAAGGGGCTGCAAAGAAGTATTCCAAATCATGAAAGGCAAGGATCTACATCCAAGATTACTCTATCCAGCAAAGCTATCATTTAGAACATAAGGGCAGATGAAGTACTTCCCAGATGTTGGGGAACCGCCCTGCCTGGTTTCAGAAGCTGTAACCCCCCATGGCTAAGGCTGAATGAGAGACCCCGGGACCCTAAGCCACTAAGGAGACAAAGCTTATCTCCCTGGCAGAGGCACTGCCTCTGGCTCCTTTTATTTCATGCTACTTAGCCCTGAGCGAATGACCAGTTAGCCAATGACAGGTAAGATTCCTCTAGGGAGGGACGGCCTAAGATAGGTACAGATGCAAAGGGGCCCTCAGGGAAGGACTTGGGGGGGGTGGGGCTATAAAAACAAGGGGCGATGGACCCTCTCCCTTCAGTTTTGACATAGCCTGAGTCCTCATTCTGTCTATGAGGAGTCTCCTAGTCTCTTGGCTGCCTTACTTCACCTGTCTGACTTAAGCCTGAAACAATGCTGGAGGTGGGTGTAGCCCTGTACTGGAAAGGGCAGGTTCCCTGGGGTGATCAGGCCTAAGAAAAAATGCATAAATTCCCATGAAACCTACTTTGCTAATACCCTCAATTTAAATGATAAGGGTTCAAGCATAGAATCAGTTTGTTTCCCCCAAGTTTTATGGCCCTTTAGCTATCTGACCCTGACTCAGAATAAGTCTTCATAGTTCTTTGTATGTTATCTATTGTTTGATCCTTACTGCCTGACAATGATTGATGAGCTTTACCTGTATTCCTGTGCAAATTGAACCCAATAAGAGCCCATTGAGGAACAGGCTCCTGGCCCTTCTCCTTTGAGATATCAGCCACCTTTCCTCCCCAAGCAAATCAATCATGTCTTGGTAGTCTTATTCTCATCCATGTGGCGGGGGGGCAGTGCAAGGGGGGGCCTGTGGGCAGAGCTCCTCTACACCCAAATAAGGTCAAGTTAAAGGAGTTCATCATCACCAAGCCCTTATTATATGAAATGTTAAAGGGACTTATCTAAGTAAAGGAAGATGATAAAAAATATGAATGGTAAAATGACAACAAACTCACAACTATCAACAACTGAACCTAAAAAACAAAAACTAAGCAAACAACTAGAACAGGAACAGAATCACAGAAATGGAGATCACATAGAGAGTTATCCATGGGGAGAGGAAGGGGGAGAATGGGGGGAAAAGGTACAGGGAATAAGAAGCATCATTGGTAGGCACAAAATAGACAGGGGAAGGTTAAGAATAGTATAGGAAATGGAGAATCCAAAGAACTTATATGTATGACCCATGGACAAGAACGAAGATGGGGAGAATACAGGAGGGTGGGGGAGTGTAGCACAGAGGGGGATAAAGGGAATAAAAAAATTGGGACAACTATAATAGCATAGTCAATAAAATATACTTTAAAAATAAAAAATATGACAAAATAAAATTGATCAAAACAGTTACTAGCATTAATTTGAAGCTCTAGAGTTTAAGTAACTGGCAGCCAGTGCACGGGGAAGCTGGGCTTCATATCTAGCTCTGTCTGAGTCTAGAGTCTAGATTCTTAATGCCACAGCATCCTGCCCCCTGATTATTCACAAACTGATAGGCAATTTATATATATATGTCTTGATGTCTTGTATGGTCAGATTATGATTAATTCTGAAAGCCTGCTAATTAAAATAGAATTTTGAAGTTTTAACAGTCTTTAAGCCTTCAATGCCTACTTTTTATTTGCGTTATTTTACTTTATTTGCATTGTTACTTTAAATTTCAATGTCTAGGTACAATGCGGTAATTTTATATCCAAACTTTATATTATTAGTCCTGGCTGGCGGGGCTCAGTGGATTGAGTGCTAGCCTGTGAAGCAAAGGGTCACTGGTTCCATTCCCAGTCAGGGTACATGCCTGGACTTTGTGGGCTAGGTACCCAGTAGGGGGTACATGACAGGCAACCACATATTGATGTTTCTCTCCCTGTTTCTCCCTCCCTTCCCCTCTCTAAAAGTAAATAAAATCTTAAGGAAGTAAAACCTTATATAGTTGTCCTGCACTGTATTGTGGTTCACTTATTGCAGCTTCACTGTATCATGGGTTTTTAAAAAAATATATATCTCTGTATCGTGGAGTTTTCACTATATTGTGGGATTTTGCGGTATATAGGTATTTATATATTTATTATTCTAATTATTTTTGCCTAAAAATTTAAAATATAAAAAATATAAAAAATGTTAATTCAAACATATTAAAAGAATATTAAATCAAAATAAAATATAGTATGTATTTCATCAGTGGATGAATACCGTACTATACACAATGGAAATGCAGTATGCCACTACTGCTTATGCAAGTTTGCCAATGTGGGATTGTACACGGCACACTATTGGCTGATGGAATGGAAGGCGACCAACCACAGCACTGTGTTCTGTATCCTGGGTGCTGATTGGCTCAGTGACCATACCATCGATCTGTTTGCTCTCCCGCACTGTGCCCATACGTTCAGCATCTCCCCTTGTCTACTTCACATCAACGTCTGATTGCTGAGCGTAGCATTGCTCTGCAGTGTTGTTTTTGTGAAATTTTCGTAAAAGTCTGAATTTATTTCAAGCCCTAGGATGCCACCCAACGTTCTGCGCCTTCTAAGGCTTCTGGCAGTGAACCCAAGTGTCAGAGGAATATGCTTACCACCAAAGAAAAGGTGGAACTCCTCAACATGTTAAAGGAAGGCAAAAGCTACCCAGCTGTAGGCCGCCATTACGGGATCAACTAATCTACTGTTCACTACATAAAGAAAGATAAGAATATTAGGTCTATGACTACAATGACTTAAGACTGCGAAGAGGGTGGTCACTTCCTGCAATAAGGGCATTGTGAGGATGGACTCTGCATTGGCCCTGTGGATAAATGACTGCAGGAAGAAGAATATCTTGCTGGATACTAACACTGTCCGGAGGCCAAGAAACTTTGATAGTTTTGAGTAAAGCACGGACGTTCATGATGATGAAGACAAGAAGGACACAGAAGCAGGACCATCGAGTGCTTCTCCCACCAGACCAACCCCATTCAGTGCCAACAAGGGCTGGTTTAACAAATTTCAGAGACGCTTTGGACTCTTGAGTGTTTCTCTGCACGGAGAAGCTGCCTCTGTGGATAAAAAGCAGCGCCAGCAACTCCCCATTACTATGTTCATCACTTGGACAAAGAGATCAGTTACGCCTATGCCTTTAGCATAGAAATAGAAGTTACTGCCCAGGGTGAAGATACTGCACCACCTGATGAAGTGCCGATGAATTGGTGCCTTCAGAAGAGCTGTAATGCTCTTCTTGGCTGTGCAGTACATTCATCTCATTGTCTTCACCTTCATCACCATCAGTACCGCACAGCTACATAATTCATGATCTTCATAATTCAAGTTATAGTATACTTCACTGGTGAGTAACCATATAGAATTATCTGTGTTGTTAAAATTACTTAGGTTTAAGAGTGTAGAAACTGTTTAAGAGCATATGAAGTGCTTATAAGAGTGTAGGAAAAGTTAATAAGAATGGGAAAGGTTTATAGGAGTGGGGTTTATAAAACCTTAAAATATATAAATAATAAATATAACGCCGTTATTTTGCAGATTTTCACCTATCATGGGGGTCTCTGGAACGTAACTCCCACGATAGGTGAGGAATCACTGTACTAATCTGTATTTGCATCTTGTGGGATGTTAGGAAGATATAATTTTGTAGCAAACCAAATACTTTTACCCAGATTTCATGTCATAGCACAAAATAATGATAGCATTTCATATATACCCATGGTACATTAAGGAATTGAAAACATTTCAATATTTACAAATCCATTTCAGAACTGGAGTTGAAGGAAACTTCACTGAAAGGGCTTTGCTGATACAAATACCCAGCAGCATGCCTGATCTATATTAGTACCAGGAATACCAACCCCAGCCCAGAAATACTTTTGCGACCTTAGGACATATAAAGAGAAAGACTAGTTACACAGGGCTTCCGACACTCATTTAGATTGAATGAAATAACATATATAAACTTCCAGGAATATATATTCAATAAAAATCAATTTTATTCTCTTCTATTGGTTAGATTTATATTCACACACACATACATATGTATCCTTAACATGTAATAGATATATATGAATAGTTACTATGCAATAGATATATTTACCTATTTATATAATCATAAGGATATATATATATATGGAACTGCCTTGCCTGGTATCAGAAGCTGTAACCGCCCCCTGCCCCGCCCCCCCCAGGCTAAGGCTGAGGGAGTGGCCTTGGACCGTAAGCCAGCAAGGAGACAAAAGCTTATTTCCCTGGCAGGAGTTCTGCTTCTGCTGCTTCATTCATAACTGAACCCCAAAGCTTGGTCGGTTAGCCAGTGACGGGTAAGATTCCCCAAGGGGGGAACGATCTAAGACAGGCACAATCACATGGGAGGCCCCCAAGGAAGGACTTTGGGGGCTACAGCAAAAGGGGGTGATGGACCCTTGCTCCTCGGCTTTTACATAGCCTGAGTCCTCACCATCTGGGAGAAAATCTCCTTATCTCTTGGTTGCCTTAGTTCCCTCGCTCCACCTAAGCCTGAAACAATGACAGGGTGGTGCCACTCTGTGCTGAAAAGGGTGGGTTCCCCAGGTGATCAGGTCTAAGAAAGAATATGTAAAATCCTGTGAAACCTGCTGTTTTAGAATGCTCTCAGTTGAATGATAAGGGTCCAAGGAAGAAGTAAACTTGTTCCTCAAAGTTTTACAGCTCTTTGATCTTGACTCAAAATAGGCCCTCAGACTTCCTTGTTATCTATTGTTTGATCCTTACTTCCTAGCAATGAGTAACGAGCTTTTACCTGAATTTTATTCAAACGAAACCAATAAAAAGCCTCTCTGGAGGGGGAGCGGGGCACTCTCCCCACCAGGGAGGGTGGCCAAGTGGTGCGCTCCCCATGTGAGGAGTGGCCATGGCGCCCTCCAGGAGAGAGGGTGGCCAAGGCGCTCCCCACGTGAGGAGTGGCCCTGCTGTTCCTATTCCCCCACAGGACCTGGTTGTCTCTGTGTATGTTTTTCTCGAGTGTTGATGAGTGTTGACATCTGCAGCCGAGATGGATACTGCTGGCCGGTATCCTCCACATATATATAGTTATATAGAGATACATATACATAAAATCCAGTGAGAAGGGCTTAGCTTTCACTTCATTAAAAAGTTCCTTTTCAACCCTGGCTGGTGTGGCTCAGTGGATTGAGCACGGGCTGCGAACCAAAGTGTCACAGGTTTGATTCCCAATCAGGGTACATGCCTGGGTTGCAGGCCATGACCCCCCGCAACCACACATTGATGTTTCTCTATCTCCCTCCCTTCCCTCTCTAAAAATAAATAAATAAAATCTTAAAAAAAAAGTTCCTTTTCAAAGCAATAAGCTTAGAGAAAATGGTAACAGCACACTCGGGCTTAGAATGATACACTAAATTTAGGGACACAGGGTTCTAGGAGAACTTAGAGTTCCAAGTCCTAAAGGCAGGTTCTGGATATTACGCCAACTTGCTTAAAAACCTGGCAAAGAATAAGAAGTACCACAACAAAAAAAGCCACAATGCAGTGCACCTATTTCTCATAATGTAACTGTTTCAGCCCTTCTCTGCATACCACCACTCTGCAAAATGTGAAACACTGCCCTGCAAGGAAGTCTACAAGTTACCTAACTTCCCATTATTTTTTTTTGCCAAAGGGCACATAAAGTAACTGCTATGCCCAAATAAACAGAAATAGAAACTGAGCTCAGTTCCACAGGAAATTCAAAATGTATTTACTACATTAGCTAATATTACTTATTTCACAATTAAGTGTTTTCACAGATGTGTTTAGAAAAATTCCCATTAAAATTATGAACTAGAAAGAGGTCATAAGGATTATTCAAATAAAATTCAAAACTAAGATCCAGCCCTGGCTGGTGTAGCTCAGTGGATTGAGTGCAGGCTGCAAACCAAGGCATTGCAGGTTCGATTCCCAGTCAGGGCACATGCCTGGGTTGCAGGCCACGGCCCCCAGCAACCGCACATTGATGTTTCTCTCTCTTTCTCTCTCTCCTTTCCTTCCCTCTCTGAAAATAAGTATTTTTTTTTTTAAAAAGAATGTTAGTGTCTAGATTTCTAAAAACAAAAAAAAACACACTAAGATCCAAGTTGGTAGCTAGCATCTTCACTTTCCTCCTAATTCAACAGCTTACAGTACTGTAATTTTCCATGAAAAATTATCATTAGGTAAATTTTACAATTCATGATCAGCTTATTTTAGAAAGAAGTTTCATGGATATTAATTTAGAAATTAGTATCCACTAATTAATGGAACCATAAATGAGTGAAGAAATACACAAAGTGGGATGGAACTAATATCTGTTATACACTAGATACTTTGCTAAGAGTTTGCATGTATTATTCAGTTACCTGTGGGTCAATATAATAACCTTATTATGCAGAAGGGGAAACTGAGGCCTGTAGAAACAAGATACAAATGCAAACCTCTGCATCCAAAGTCCATTCTTCCATGTATCTTACCGTCTCCTGAACTATAGTTCAGGAGAACTGATGTAGTCTCTCTCTAACCAGGGGTTTATGCTCCTGAAACCCTCACACCAACTTCCCAATCCCCCAAAAAGGAATACATTTAGACTCATACATTAAAAAAAAATAGTTTTACCTGCCCTGGCTGGTAACTCAGTGGATTGAGTGTGGGCCTGCGAACCAAAGGATCGCTGGTTTGATTCCCAGTCAGGGTACATGCCTGGGTTGTGGGCCAGGTCCCCAATGGGGAACATGCAAGAGGCAACCACACATTAATATTTCTCTCCCTCTCTTTCTTCCTCCCTCCACCCTCTCTAAAAATAAATAAATAAAATCTTTTAAAAAATAGTTTTACCAGCCAACAGTAATCAAAGCAGCACAATGGAACCATAAATACCAAGCAGAATATTGTCTCCAGAGGTAGGCGAGTTGACTTGCAAGTCATTCAGAAAAACAAGTGAAAGGAAAGCATTTGTTATTGGAGAGCAAGCAAACTGTTCCAGTTCTTCAGGTAATAAATGAAAGGACCTTTATAGTAAATTTCTCTTCAGTCACAAAAGCCACAGACCCATGTGGCCATGACTCAGGGAGGAAGTGGAAGGAGAATAGACAGTAATGAGAGATGAGGCTGGAGAGACAGGTCAGGGTCGGACCAAGAATAGCTTTGAGTGTCTCCTCCCAAGTGTTCTACAGCACCTTGGCACTGTCTCTAATAACATTTTACACCGAGAGGAAATTACATACGTGTGTTCTGCCCCTAGACAGGTGAGTTCTGCTATAGAAGTAACAGTCATTATCACCTCTGAATTCGCCACAGCCTAGCACTGCACAGTGCCTGTATGAAAGAAAGGGCTGATGTTACAAGGCTTAGGTCTCTGGCAATGCAAAGGCTCTTAGGATGAAAGGAAGAGGAAGAGTGCACAGATTTGGGGAGAGAAATCACAGGACTGCCCTCCCCAAGACTCTTCAACCTAGATTTAAAAATGAGTTAGATGTCCAGAAAAATTAGGAAAAACCTATTACCTCTCCATGGAAACGCAAACAGAGCTTCTCTTCTCTCCCCTGGTATTTATCACCTCATTTGACTCTGCCTGGCACTGACCTGCTCTGGCTAGGCGGAAGTCAACGCCCTGGTGACCACAGCACATTTACTCATTCTCCTGGAAGGGAATGGGGAGGCAAGAGCCATACCCACCTCCTGGAAGAGGGGGGAAGTGCGGGTACCCTGGAAGCAAGGCAGCTAAAGGATTTCATCAGACTGCACCAACCCCCTGCGCCACTAGGGTGCCGAGAAATGACTGTCGCTTAAGGCTGCTCATTCAGAATCCTTCCCCACGCTCGCCAAAGCGTCTTCGCCGCTTTCCCCAAGACAGATCTCTCATCACTACCAAAGGCAGCCGGCAGGTTTTGACCTGTAAATTATGTTCCCGTAAATCGAGACTCCCCATAACCCACCAGTACCTTTGCTCCCCACTGGGGCCCCGTCCCGCCAGTCCACCAGTGCCGTGAAAGGGCGATGCCCCGAACCTGTGGGAGACTGGGATCCTCCGAAAGGTGGGCACCCGGTAACAGCCCACCCTGCCTAGCACCCAGGTCGCTGGTTGAGGTAGAATTCTGCTGCCACGTCGCCCCGCCACACCCCTCTTGGTGGCCACCACAGCCCGGCGGAGATGCTCAGGAACTCCTTTGGAGTCCCTCTAGAGCCCAGGCGGTTTCCCCGCCCTCGGTTCCCCTCGACTTTTGGCACTGCCCGAGTTCCCGACTCTCTCACCGGACTGCCGAGAAGTGGAGCAGACGTTGGCGGAAGCGACAGTTCTGGGTGGGCCGGAGCAGCCGAGTGGCAAACGTACACACGAGGGATGAGGCAGCCATAGCCGGCGCCGGCGCCAGTGCCCAAAGAGAAGCGCGCGCGCGGGCCGAGTGATTATACCACTGGCGCGTGTCAGGTACCGCCTTCCGTTGGCACCCATTGGTCCCTGTCCCGCAAAGCCTTGTTTGTGATTGGAGCGAGAGACCCAGGCGAGACCCTAGAAGGCTCGGAAGCCGCGGGACCAAGTGGTGATTGGCTGAGGAAGGCCAACCCGTACCAGATGGTCCCCAAAGCCCCGCCAATGCTAGCGTTTGTTCCTTTTAGCACTTAACTGCACGCTAGTCACTATAAAGTAGGGGTGTCAAACTCATTTTCACCCGGGTCCACGTCAGCCCCGCGGTTGCCTTCAAAGGGCCAAATGGACGAGATTTGTACATTACTCTTTTGTACTTACATTAGTTATTTGTACTTACATTAGTTATTTGTACTTACATTTGGCCCTTTGAAGGCAACCGCGGGGCTGACGCGGACCCCGGTGAAAATGAGTTTGACACCCCTGCTGTAAAGAGTGGATGAAAAGAGAGATAAAATGCCAACTAGTAAATGTAGAATAATCGGGTTAGAAAATAACTATTTTAGCAAGCCATTGATTCAGAATCGTCAAAGGATGTGAAAATGGGTGAAGTTGGATTTGGAACAAGCTATTCATATAAAGGGTTCCCAGATCCTGCAAATAAAAATACAAGATGCTCTTGAAACTAATATTGAATGTAAACTGTAACTGAAAAATAAAATTTAAAAAATAAAAAATAAAGTATAACTTCTTTGCTCAAAAAATACAAGATGCCCAATTAACTTTGAATTTTAGATAGATAATTTGGGAGGAGGGTCATACTTACACTAAAAAAGTATTTGTTAGTTACCTGAAAGTTAAATTAAATTGGGCTTCCTGTATTTTATCTGACTGCCTTATTTGTGTAGTCTCAAACTAACTCTTCCAAAAAATCCTTTTTAATAGCAAGGGTAAACTTATAGTAGAGAAACCTACAGTTTTCACCTTAAACAAGTGATCAAAGTTAACACCACCAGTAATGAGGACAGACATGTTGTATACCCCCAGATAAGGTGCATTGAGGAGGACACATCACTTCATAACTCTTGAATGAAATGATTTTCCTAATTCATCCATCAAGCCCCTAAAAAATGTTACTGATCTTTCATTTATAATGTGAGAGAAGAGATGATAGACCTGAAATAATAAAACAGTCCAGGAAAAACCCTGAATTCTGAAATTTGGTAATATACTAGTAGACTTTAATCACAAGAAAATATCAGACAAGCGCAAACTAAGACATTCTGCAAGACAAGTAGCCTGTACTTTTTGAAAATATCAAACTGTCCTTTTGAAAAACAAAGAATGAGTAACTGTTCTGGGTTAAAGGAGTCTAGACATGATGACTAAATAATGCATGGTTTCTGAACAAAATTTTTTTCTTTCTTTTATTCTTCCCTCTATTTTGCTATAAAGGACATTATAGAACAATTAGCAGAATATTAATGAGGTCTGTAGATCAGCTAATAGAAAGATATCAGTGTTAATTTCCTGATTTAACTATTCAACTTTTAGTTATAGAAGCAAATGTACTTGCTTTTAGCAATGAATAAGAATCATATCTGCAACTTACTCTCAAATGTTTCCAAAATTATAATTAACATTATAATATAATATAATATAATATAAATAATTACTACTTTGTTAAGGCTGCCATAACAAAATAGCACATGCTCGCTGGCTTACACAACAGAAATTTATTTTCTCCAAGTTCTGGAGGCTAGAAGCCCAAGACCAAGGATTGGCAGGTTTGGTTTCTCTGGAGGCCTCTCTCCTTGACTTTTGTATGGTTGAGCTCTTGGTGGCCTTTTCTCTGTGACAGCACACCTGTGGTGTCCTTCTCTGCATGTCTTAATCTTCTCTTTTATAAGGACGACAGTCAGATTGGATTAGGACCCACTCTTAAGACCTTATTTTAATTTTATAGGCTGTATTTCCAAATACAGACACATTCTAAGGTACTAGGGAATAGCTTCAACATATGAATTGGGGACACAATTTAATCCATAACAATGTATATACATAAAGAGAAACTGATGAAGCATATGGCAAATGTAACACATTAACAACTGGGTAATTCTCTGAACTTTCCCTGCAATTTTTCTGTATGTCTGAAATTATATAAAAAATTTAAAAGCCAGATCAGTAATATTTCTGCTTTCATGGTGCTTGGGAATAAGGTAGACATATAGGGAACAAGAAAATAAACTAAGAAAAAGAAACCCTCAAGAAGCATGTAGAAAGGCTGAATAGGGTCAGAGCACATCCTTCAGAGGGAGAGAAACCAGACAGGATCAGATTTTAAGATGCCTAACCCTCTTACCACTTCACAAAATTTTGGAAATTCTGTTTTTACAAAATGTGAACTCTCAAGAATGAAACCATGAGAACATTGCTTTATATATTTTTAACATGCTTAACAAAAGGATTTGCTTCTATGCTCTCACAGTATTATATTGAAAAATCATTCATTTAACAATACTTTGTGGTGCAATTTTTAGCACAAATTCTATAGGGTGAAGATGCCCAGGGCCAACTAGCCTACGACCCACTCTTCCCTTCACTCTGCCTCCACTGAGCATGTCCTGTGCTTCTGCCCTGTGCTTGGTCGCCCACCTCTCCCTTTTCTACAGAGTCACTGCTACTCATCCCTTAAGGCTGCACCTGCCGATTTTCTGACTTAAAAGTTTTGCCTCTAGGCCTCCACATTAACTGGCCCCGATGTTTCGCTGACACATAAAGGAACGTCAGGACCACACACTGGCAAAATGGTATTTTTGTTCTAAAACTATATGAATAGGCAGAATGAATTGCCCTCTCCTCTGGGCTGTCATAGCATGTAGGAACACTCCTATTTCAGCTCTCAGAAATATATCTTATTATTTGTGCACCTGTTTATCTCTCCCAATATGATGTGGGCTTATTCAACCAACATAATTCATGTCGCATAACTCTTCTCGATCATGCAAGCACTAAACACGTGAGTGACCCAACTTCTATTTATCTTTTTAATAGTTAAGCTTTATTGAACACTTACAATGTGTCATTGTTTTAAGCACTATGCATATATAATACTACTTAGTTCTCACAATAAGTTCATGAAGTAAATGCTATTATTATATCCATCTTATAAATGGGGAAAATGAGGCACAAGCTGTTTAAGAAATGTGTCAGAGGTCACCAAGCTAGTAAGGGGAGAGGCAGGGATTAAACCCAGACAGGCTGGCTCCAGAGCCCATGCTTTTAATATTAGTTACCATTTATTGCACACTTACTCTGTTCCAGGCACTCGGTTCAACACTGTCTTCTTTAATCCCACCAACCATGTGAGGTAGGTACCATGTTCCCCACTTGAGTTGAAAGAACTTAGGCTCAGAGAGAGTAGGCCAAGTGCCTGAACTCACTCACTCAACAAGATGAGGCCGGCTCCACCCCCAGGTGGTGGGAATTGAAAGCCTTGCCTCTAGCCCTCCACTCGATGTGGGCCTGCCTATTTTACAGAGCGATGGGGAGGAAACCAGACCATGCATAGGCAACATCACTTAAAACCCCACGAATGGGTGAGAGATAACAGTTGGGTAGCAGAGGCAATGGTGGTGGGACCACAAGGTTGGCTGTTCAGCTACAACAGTGTTCCATGTCTGGGAGGAACCACAGAGTTTATGAACTCTAGCCCATTCCACCATTGGTCAAACTTCCATTTTAACTAACCTGAAGAAATCTAGGAGCATGTATTATCTCAGAGCACTTTCTAAGGAACGATTATACCTGGCACTGAAGTTTCACCCTTCATAATCTGGAGCTTATAATTAGTCTTCATGCAACATGATAGCCAATATAGTTGTGAAAATATTTAAGTATTTCTCTTCCAATTGATAAAACTTATACTCCCAAGGCCCCATCATCATACCCTAGGATCCCTTGCTAGGGAAATTAATATTGACACCTGGACTATGGCGCTGCTTTCACCCGAGGCCAGCCTGAGGCATACCATCCATTCCATATTCCCTGAACTTCTCTCATCTCAGAATGTTACAGAGCAACAAGGGGGGGGGGCTCAAAGGGCAATATACTATTCCCTGAAGGAACCCCCCAGATTTATGTCTGCCGCCAAAGGAAAGATATCTCTCAATGCCCGAGATTCAGTGAAAAGGAAAGGAATTTATTATTCATTTGAAATAATACAAACTAAAGTTTCCCACAAATGCACACAGTCCTCCCAGTGCCCTCCACGTGGCAAAAGGGAACACTTCCAAAGTCTCGTGGTCCTCTCACCCAAGCCGCATGGTCCCAACCAAGACACCAAAGTTGTGTGGTCCTAAACAGACATGTGGTCCCAAAAAAGGAGACGAAGTCCCAAAAGAGAGACGTCCGGTCCCAAAAGAGAGACCCAAAATGGCTGCCTCGCTGGGTTTAAATCCCAGCGCCAATCTTCTTCTGCAGCCCCATTTCCGGCTCCTCCCACAATTGGCTACAGCTGCCAGCGTTCTGGGCAGGTGTGCCCTGTGGTGTGGAGCCAATTATCTCCAAGCTCTTCTGGACCCTATTACAAATCCCTATTTGGAGCTCCCCTCTTGGCTGCACCCTGTTACAAGAACATTCCAATTCTTGGCCAACTTGCCTTCTATTTCAATACCACTAAAGCAGACAGCGCTAGGGCAGGACAGCCCAGTCTTCAAAACATCTAACCAGAGAGGGCCATACCTCTTTTTCTTACTCTAAAAGCAATTTTCTTACACACACACACACACACACACACACACACATTGGAAATTACAAAAAAGACTAACAATGTCATTGATCTAACACCCTGGGTTAGATCAATGGCATTGTACTTGGAAGAAAGGAGATTAAAAAGTTAAATAAGATGCAAACTTGTCCTAACCAGGTTTGTAGCCTAGTGGGATGGAAGACAAACTGTGTTACTGCTTCAGTGGATAGGTGACAGAGGTATGCCCAGAGGGTTCTGGGA